CTCTCTTGGTCCAATCAGAGCTGGCAGTCTGCATCTCAAGCTGCTGCTGAGGTCTCAAGGGATAGGTGGGTTTGGGGGATGGTGTGGGACTTATAGATTACAGGGTCTAATGGGGGGTGGGGTGGGCAGGCCTGCCCATAGGAGTCTTGCCTGCTGGCCTGCAACTGGGACTCACTCTCTTCTTCTAGATCAGTTCTCCTACACAGGCCGCTGCCACCATGATGACCCCTACCCATGTGCCTGGGGTCAAGTAACCATGGACTAAACCCATGAGAAATGTGAGACAAATTAATCTTTCTTTTAAGCTGTTTGTCATATATTTAGTTACAGCTTCAGGAAAGTAGCAAATATGGTGATCTTTCAAAAATATAAGTCATTTCTTTAAAAGTCTTTTGTTTAGAAACTCTCTCAATAATTTCCATCATAGTGGGAACATTTACTCTTTGTAGCATGGCAACCAGGCCTGAGGTAAACTGATCTATGTTACCTTCTAGTCTCATCTCCTTCTTCCCTTCACTTATATAGTTCAGACATATTCATCTTTCTGTGCCACAAAATCTTCAGCTCAGTTCTGCCCCAGGACCTTTGCGTGTACTAGTCTTGAAGCCTAGAACATTCTTCCCTGGCCTTTGCCCCAGTGACTATATGTCATCTTAAATGTCATCCTCAGAAAAGTCTGTCCTGACTTCTCTATCTAAACTAGCCCCTCTCCCAAAGTACCACCGCTATCCTCCCTCATGTATCCCTGATTATTAAACTCACGGTGTAGAAAATATGGGTTGCATGTGCTGGGTACACTAACTATCCAGGATATTTTCATTTGAACACAGACTCCCTAGGAGAACATGTCTCTGCTCTCCCACATGTGTCACCATGTGGCCCCATGACTAGTGTTGAAAGATGAAATCCACCAAAGGCCCATTCACGAAGGCCATATGAGATCCCTCCATGAACAAGGAAGCTACCAGAAGTACCTGCTTGAGAGGAGGTCCTGGTGTATTCTGTTGACATGTGCTGCCCTCTCTACATCTGTGGCTCCAAGGAGACTCAAGCTAAGAGTATAGCAGGGAAGATATGGTTTAAGGAACTGAGTGTAGGGGCAGAGACTGACTAATACTCAGAGAAGCTGAAGCCCTAGGCCCATACCAAAGGCTTCCTCATTCAGGTGATTTCTTCAGCTTGGTTGTGTGGAGACTGCTGGCTGAAGCTTCAAGCTTCTCTGAAGACCTCCTATTCACACACACACACACACACACACACACACACACACACACACACAGAGAGAGAGAGAGACAGAGACAGAGACAGAGACAGAGACAGAGACAGACAGAGAGACAGAGAGAGACAGACAGAGAGACAGAGAGACAGAGAGAGACAGAGAGATCACCAAGCTTCCACCATGGTCGGGACTCTACACAGCTGCGAAATGTGCCCTGCCATCTCAGCTAGGGTACTCATGATGCTCTGCTCTGCATCCCACTTAGAGTGCTCAGAGTATCCCAGCCCCCTCAACTCTCACCACTGACACTTCCGTTGTACTGGTCATGTCATTGACAACCTCTGTGACTATAGAACAAGACTCAAGCAAACTAGGCCCAAAAGAGGGAACTTGCTGGTTCACAGAATTCCAAGTCCATCACAGCTTCAGGCATGTCTGGGGCTAGTGTTAGTAATGTCCTCTGGACACTGTCTCTCCTCATCTCTAGCACAGCTCTGTCCTATCAGGGCTCCCCTCTCATTTGGATTTTTCCTAAGCAGGAGAGTTGTCAACCACCTTGGTGCTATGAGTCTCTGACTCACTATGGTAAAGGCTTCTTAGAGCATTTTAAAACACCCCCTCCCCCTCTCTCTCCCCTCTGTGTGTGTATGAGATAGATGATACAAATATGTAAAATTAAAATATTAATCATTAATTTTATGTGCACTAAATTAAAAAAAACATTGACAGTGGGTTTGTCACTTTTATGTAGCTATGACCAAAATGTCTCCTAGAATAACAAAGAAGGATGGATTTATGTGGCTCATGATTTCTGAGGTATCTGTCAATCATGATAAGGAGGTTGTGGAAGAGAAGTCAGGAAGCAGAGAGGAAGTATAGAAAGGAGCCAGGGATGATCTAGCCCCCAAGGACTCACATCTATTAATTTGCTTCCTCCAACTTGGCCCTCCTCCCCCTTTTCACCACCTCCCAATAATGCCAGCATATTATGACTCCATCAAGGAAGTACTCCATTCAGAGTCCCCATGATGTACTCATCTCTGGAAACACCATACAGACATATCTGAAGGTGTCTGTGTCTGAGTCAAGCTAACAATGGAGATTAACTACCACAGACTGAAAACTAACTATATGAAAACATTCTATTGACAAACTCATGTCAAGAACCCCTGTCCAATCACTCTGTATCCACTTTTCCATAGCAATACCCTAAGGTCCCAGGACTGATCCTCACTAGCCCAGCCTAAGTTATATGACCATCTCTGAACCAACCATAATAATCAAGAGTATGAGATGTGCTGATTGGCTAGGTGTGTTAGTCCACTCAGAGGCAGGTGGGTAAGCAGGGTCCAGACTCCTCAAACCAAAGGAATAGAAAAGATGAGGGGTAGAGGTGCAGGCACAAAGTAGAAATAGACAGGAAGTCAGATGCCCACTATCCTGGACATGTGGCCAATGATACAGAATGTCTGCTTATAGAGACCCAGAAAGGACAGTGTTCAGAGAGATATGGACCACCTGAGTGAGGCAGAAACTTCTCTGTCCCAGATGGAAAATCACAGGATTTGAGAGTCATCTTCCCCCACCTAACACCAACAACATTGGCCAAGCCATTTTTTAACTTAAAATTTTCTTTTGTGGGAGAAAGAAAAGGGAGTCAGATCTCCTTGAGTTAAAGGCAATTGTGAACCACCTAACATGGGTGTTGGGAACAAAACTCAGGTCCTCTGGAAGAGCAGTAAGCATTCTTAATTGCTCAACCATTTCTCCAGTTCCTAAATGTGATAGATGTTTTTGGTTGTCTGGAAGTAACTAAAACCCAAGTGGTTGAGGACACAGGCAAGAATTTTTGATTGAATCATTTGAGGTGGGAAGATCCCTCCCTTAAATCTGGGCCACATCTTCTGGTAGAAGTCTATATAACATTCATGGGAGAAGGAAACTCTTATTCTTTGCTTGCTTGCCCTCACTCTGCTGGCAAGTCCATTCCTTCACTGGTTTTAAAGCCTGCTTCTCAGGGATTCCAGCATATACTGAAGACCAGCTGAGACATGGACTTGACAACTACTGGATTCTTGGACTTTCCATTGGAAGACAGCCATTGTAGGACTGGCTGGACTACAGCCTATAAGCCTCTATAATAAATCATATATACATAACTAAGCAGCCCTTGCACTGGGCAAGCTACTTATGGTGGTCAGTCTTGTTTGTCAACATGACTCGATCAGAAGATGTCTAAGACTGATGAGATCCATCCATGTGTGTGTGGGGGGGTGAGTATAGGGGCTTCAGAGAAGAGTGACAGGTGAGAATTGACTTGGGAAGGAAAATTCCCTTAGAACAGGACCTTCCAAAGGACAGCCCAGATAAGAAGTCTAAGGGGAAAAGGCAGCCTCTGTGGCTGCATCCCATCTGAGTGTGTCACTCACTGCAGTGATCTTGTCACATCAAACTCCTGCTTCCTAACAGCAGGAACGCTCTACGAAGTTTTCAGGCTTTCAGTACCAGACTGCGATGACTAGGGTATCTAATTGTCTTGAACGAAGCAGCTCCTTGTTCTCTGCCCACCCCCTCCCCCCAGTTTGGAAAGGATTTTGGGCCTGTGATCCTGCAGAAGGTGGGAATGCTCACTCATTTAAATGGGGTCTAAAGACTTGCCTTAATCCCATAGTAACCACTAAGCAACTATGTAGACTTCAGATGAGTTGCTCACTTTTCTGGGTCTCAGTTTCATTGTCTATAAATGGCTAAACTGCCCCCCATCCTGACTGCCCTGCTATAGAGAGTTTGTGAGCTGGAAAAAAGAAGTATCCAGCAAGTGAAGATCAGGATAAATCCTGGATCCAGAGGCACCAGATGCTGTGCCACTCAGAAGTAAATAGCCTGTAGAGCTGAAAAATGGAGAGTAAAGCCAAGGACCCCTAGTCACCCAGAGAGACAGGAAAATGACCCTGAAGAGATGGACTATGGTGTGAAGGATAGGAGCAAGATGTGTTTAAGGATTGGTTTACCTCCCTTCTGTAAAGCATGGCCTGGAACCTGGAGCTTGGTAGATTGTGTGCACAGCATCAAGCTGGAAAGAGGCCTCCATGAGGTTCACTTTTAGTCCTGTGGGGTTCTTGATTCAGTGGTTGGGCCAGAGGTTAGGCCTCTGAGACTTTATGCTGTGACCTGTGTTGTTAAATCAATAGCCACAAGAAGAGCTATAAGTGAGAGGCTCAATCTGGAGAATGAAGGAATAGATGTTGGCATGTCCCTTTGAATCACAGAGGAGAGGTCCATAGGCCCAAAATGGAGTTAGGGACATCTCTAGGGCTGTAATGGGTAAAAGGCCAAAGAACCATGTAGATCTGAGACTTGAATTTTGTGGTATTCTTGTTTTAGATGTAGATGTAGAATTCAGTGAGTATGTCATGTGTCCAGCCTAACTAATCTAAACTACACATCCATTGTGTGCTCATCACTCAGATCAAGACAGAGCATATTTCCAGTACATGGCCTTGCCAAGCTAACATGTATTCTAACTTATACCACCATTGATGAGTTTCATCTGATTTTGAACTTGATGTAAATGGTTTTGTGTTATTTTAGATAACCTTTCCTGGGAAATTTACTTCTATTCTCCAGTACCGATGACAGACAGGAAAAAAAAAGTTCCATCCACATTCTTCTTGGTGAATCAGTGAGTTTCTTGGATTACTTACAGGAGTGTAGACGACTCAGACACCTGTCTTAGTTAGGGTTTCTATTGCTGTGATAAAACACCATGACCGAAAGCAACTTGGGAAGGAAAGGGTTTATTTCATCTTCATAGAGTTCATCATCCAGGGAAGTAGCAGCGGGGACATAAGGCAAAACCCAGAAGAAGTAACTGAAGCAGAGACTGTAGAGGAGTGCTGCTCACTAGCTTGTTCCCCGCGGCTTGTTTAGCCTGCTTTCTTATTCACCTCAGGATCACCTGCCCAGAGTACCACCCACAGTGTCCTAGGCCCTTCCACAACAATTTCTATTTACAAAAATGCACCACAGGCTTCCTCACAGGCCCACCTGGTGGAGACCATTTTCTCAGTTGAGGTTCCCTATTCTTGACTGTAGCTTATGTTAAGTGTCTTTGGAGGTGGGCTTTGGATTTTCAAAAGCTCAAGCCAAGCCCAGTGTCTCTGTCATCCTGTTGCCTACAGATCCGGATACAGAACTAGCAGTTACCACTCCAGCACCATGTCTGCCTGCATGCTGCCATGCCTCACCCCATGACAATTATGGACTAAACCTCTGAATCTGTAAGCCAACCCCAGTTAAATGCTTTCCTTTATAAGAGTTGCTGTGGTCATAGTGTCTCTTCACAGCAACAGAACATTGACTAAGACAGATCTTAATTTTAGCAAAGTCCAGGTATTTATCTTTTATTGCCATTGTTCCCTGTGCTTGTCTCTAGATGTGACCTGAAACCATGGGATAGTCCTCAAATTTCTATAGGCAAAGGAACTGTTACACAATATTTCCTTCAAAATTACAACCTCCTATATTAGAGGGAAGCCCCTTAAGACACAGGATGTAGATGGAAATGTGAAGCAGCAGGGTGATCTAAGGGGAGGTGAGACCTTTAATCCTGCAGAGAAGCTCATTAAGCTAAAAATGTAGTTCAAAAGCTTCAGAAATTCCTGAAGATTCCCTAAACCCCTCCCTCACCAAGCAGATTGTCTTAGTCAGTGCTCTATTGCTATGAAGAGACACTATGACCACAGCAACTTTTAAAAAAGAAAACATTTAATTGAGGCTTGCTTGCAGCTTCAGAGAGTCATTTATGTTCCTCTAAGTAACTCCAATAAAACTCTTAGGTTCACCAAGTTGGACTTTGGTGGTATCATTACCTTGATCTGTCATTAGTTTCCTATCTGGGGTGAGTAGATATCTGTTCTCATCTTCCCAGGAATAGGATCACACAACAGGAGCCTCCTAAGAGATAGATTACAATGCCCAGTTCCTTGACGGTCCCTGGGGATTATAGGTAAGATGGCTTTCCTCCTGCCCTGTTCATCTTATGCCCTACAGTCCCAGTGCAGTACACAGTAGGAAGAACAGGCACAAAACAAATCCATTCCGAACAAGTCTACATGCTTGTTGAGGGCTGGCTCAGGAATCATAACAGCTTGGTCTATAGAAATGTCCTGAAGTATGTTCTCTGAACTTCCGGTGTTCTGAAGTCTTATATTTGCTCTGCCCCATCGCTGCCTCCCTCTGTTGTGCTGGTGGTAAGGTGAGAGGAGGCTCTCAGAGACAGAAAACATCCAAATTCTTCATAACTTCTTGAGTCCACAGACATAGGATGGAGGTCTCTACCTCTGCTCTTGTAATCCTCCATATGCTCCAGTTTCTTCACCTATAAGATGGGGAGAGTGAACATATGTGCTTCTCAGAATCCTAGGAAGAATTACCTGAGATAATGCATGCAAAGTGCCTATCCTAGCATGTAATCCATGCTCAATACATAGTAGATAATTTTATTTATTAACTGCCAGATAGGACAAGCTCCCATTTAGCCTCCTAGCTCTTAATGATGGCCTGTTGTCTCTGTTGGGAGTTTGGCTTCTCTGTTTCTTCACTTCCATGCTAATGTTTAGGATGTCCTGGACAGTTCAGAGGACAAACCTCTAGCCCATCCTGACAGGCTCCTGTCCTATCCTGTTCTGACCACAACTTATCACCAAAGTACCCCACGGCTTCTCTTACTCTAGATCTCCCAGCTGTCAAGCTGCTCTGCTCATTCTGTCCAGTTTCCCACGAAGTGGATCTGACTTCATCTATGCAGATTCTATTTTGCTGGTGGCACCAGCTGCTGTTGGCTGGCAGAGATTTCAACCATGAAATTTGTTCAATACAATAAAATGCCATCATCCCAAGGAAGCAACAATTGGGAATGAGCACGTATGCTCTTAAGATTTCAGAGCATTCCTCAGTTATTCTACCACACTGAGACATTCCTGCCCAAGGACCACAGACTACATCAAAGAACCCTGGCCTGGCCTGACCAAAGCACAAGTCCTGGGCCTGTATGTCATCACTAGCATCTAGTCTATGTGTGCGAAATGAATGGACTAACTAATGACAGGTCCCCAAGCAATTTGGGTTCATTCATGCATACAAGCCTTTGATTTCCATTCAGCAAGCAGGAGCAGCTAACTGGTTTCACTCAGTTTTTGTGACCAGAGCTGAGGACTTCTTTTTTAAAACAGTCATGGAAATGGGGAGCGGGAGGGGGGGGGAGTGGCAGAGTTCTCACACACCTCATCTTCTCAAGAACCCTCCATGGACTCTAGGTTTCTCTGGCTTCACTGAACCCATTTTCTAAATCTGTGTTCTAGGTACCAGAAAATTACAACCTGATATGTCCTTTAGGCTCCATCTATATTGCCAACACCCCTTTCCCTGTCCCTTGGAAAGAGAGACCCATGAGAACCCAAACTGGAAGTTTTGATGGACAGAGACTCCACCTCAGACACTTACTATACAGCGTCTCAAGGACAAGCATTCTTAAAAAGAATCCTCCCAGCTGTGCAGTCACAGTCATGTTCATTCACTCACTCATTGTACCTTTCACATCTTTCCCAGGCCCAGGTAAAGCAGCTGATACTCCCCAATCTACACATTTGCAGTTGACATTTCAAAATTAGATGGCCACAGATGGGACATATCTGTGTCCTATCCTGGAGTCTGAAATTTTTAAGTACAAATAAATGCCTATGCTGGCCATCTCCTGATACATGGAAGGAATTTTTGGTCAGCACAAAGCCTAATAGTCCTGGCATTGACCTTCCCTCGTGGACACTGGAATGTTTGGGGACCTGAGTCCTTAAGGTTTTTACTTCTTTGAGTGTCTTAAGATGGGTTGTACATAACTCCCTGGAGGATTAGTCTGGCCACTCAGCAGATACAGTTGGCCATTTCTTCCCATTCTCTTAACAACCAGACTCTTCAAACAGAAGCCTGTCAAAGTGATATCACTGGCCAAAAAGGACAATATGGAAGATGATTCTCAATTGTCTCTTGTCTAGAGCACAGGACGCCCCATAGCAGGAGCTGCTCCTGAAGTTTCCCCACAATGAAAATCATGCCACAGTTCACAAGTTTGCCCATTATACCTGGTATGGGTTCCCACAAGTCCTGCCTTCCAAGGGACAGGAGAGGAGTCTCTATAAGCAGAGATAAGCCTCAGGAATGCACCAGTCTTGCATAAATGGTTGTGACTTCATGAAGGAATTTCACTCTAGGAAACCAAATGGGACCTTATGTGTTTCTCTTGGCCTTAACTCCTGAGCACTTTGACTGAGATATGGCATCTCTCCAGAGTCAAGGCCTGGGTAAACTGACCTGATAGACAGGGTTCCCTTCCTTGGAAGGACATAGCCATAAAGTGCTGCCCAGCTGCTACTGATTCTCTTACTCTCCTTCCTCTGCAACTTTGAAAACCCTTTGACTATCTTTCAGGTGTGTCCATAGACAAGCCCTATATAAAACTGCCTGACCCAAGAACCTTTAGGCTCCATGATGTCTATTTGCTGTGTGGTCTTTGAAATTCCCAGGTGGTCATTACACACATTCATAAGCAGTCAGTAAGTGGGAACACAGCTATTGCTTAATGATTAGCTAGCACTTCTCAGCACAGGCTTTCATTGCACATTGTGCAGTGCTAACTCATGAGAAAAGTGGCCAGGCTTGGCACAGGTCTGCCATCCCAGCTACTAGAGAGGCTGAGGGAAGATAACAAGTTTAAGGCCTAGATTTTATTATGAGCTAAGGGTCAGCCTGAGCACCTTAGTGCCATATGTATCAAAATAAAAAGTATACAGTAAAAATTGTGGCTCAGTGGCAGAGGGCTTATCTAGAATATGTGAGACCCTGAGTTCAAGTCCCAGGAGTAGGGGCGTGGGAGAGGAAGAGGAGGAAAAGAAAAAAATGCTGTCCACTAATAATGCCTGCAGCCAGCACATGGAGGACTAAGTGCTTATTCAGAGAGTATCACTCCATAGCTGTGGAAGGGAAATTGACCAAACCAATGTTAAAGGCCATTTTCCTAGATGTTCTCAGTAAGAAGGTAATAGGATCCGTAGAAAGATGATGTCACCTCTCAGGCAAACAAGGAACTATGCAATAGTCCCCCTGTGATATAACCACCCCCAGGAACTATAATTGAAGGAAACAATATTAACCACTGGAGCTTATTGGGTACTTCCTCCATGCCAGGAAGGATGCTAAATATTTTGCATTTATTATCTCAATTAATCCTTCCATCTACAACCATGGGACATTTGTTATCATGGTGTCGTTTTACAACTGAGGACATTAAGGCTTGGGTTAAAGAATTTACTGAGTCACAGAGCTAGGTGACATGCCAATGTCTACTTACATTCAGGTCTGTTTGTTTTAGAATTGATATGGCCCACTGCCCTGCCTATGGCATACCCCTGTGGTATGTTCCCTTTAGAGGAGGTTCTAGAGAGCTGGAGATCAGCCTAAGCTTACCCAAACAGTAAGGGCAACAATATCACCCAGACGACAAGTTCCCATGTGGTGGTTTGGATGAAATGTCCTCTATAGGTTCTAGAATTTGAATATTTGGTCTCTAAGTGGTGACATTGATTTTGAAGTGTAGTGGTTTGAAAGAAAATGGTCCCCAAAGGGAGTGGCACTATTAGGAGGTGTGGCCTTGTTGGAGGAAGTATGCCGCTGTGGGGGTAGGCTTTGAGATCTCTTTTTTCTCCAGCTTCCCTCAGTGTGGCAGTCAGTTGACTTCCTGTTGCCTGCAAGATGCAGCATTCTTAGCTTCAGCACCCCGCTGTCGCTCCTCTTCATGGTCATAACGGACTGAACCTCTGAAACTGTAAGTAAACCACCTTCAATTGAAAGTTTTCTTTATAAGAGTTGCCGTAGTCATATTGTCTCTTCACAGCAATAGTAAAACTAAGACAAGAAGGATTAGAAAGGTGTGGCCTTGCTGGAGGAAGTGTGTCATTGGGACACAATTTGGAGATTTGTGACATTTTGAGTTTGCTTTGTTTTCAGCTTGGAATTCAAGATGGGAGTTCCCTGCTTGCTGTTCTAGCCACCATGCCACCATATCTGCTACATCTACATCTTCATGGACTCTAGCCCTCTGGAACTGTAAACTCAAATAAATACTTTCTTCTATAAGTTACCTTGGTCATGGTATTTTATCACAGAAATAGAAAAGTAACTAATAAAACTCCCAGTCTGAATGGGGCTATGGTCCACAATGGTTCTTCTGGCTTCTTTGAGACTGGGTGTCTGAACATGAATGAAGGTCCTATCTCAGCCACTTAACCAAGGAGAAAGTTTCCTTCCTGCTGAAGATTCAGCTCTTCTTTCCCCATCTTATAATAAGAGCATAGGTACAATAATTCCTAAACCTGCCCACAGCCTTTCTTTATTTCAGAAACCAAAAATGAATTTCTGTTTTAATCTCACCCACTCCTAGCAGCCTCCTGTCATCCCCATTGTTAATACGGGTTTGGAGTGCATGCTTTTTAGTTATGACACCAATAGTACCTGGCCTGCCTCAAAATATGGCCAGTACTTGGTGCATTCCCTGAAGACAGCCTTTCTTGGTTCATTCTGGGGAAAGGGGGATGCTCTCAGTCTCAGTGCCACTCCCAAGCCAGAAGAGAACGTGCTGGGACAACGCTCACCCACTAGACAATTGCAGAACATGGCCTCCCTTCCTATGGTAAGATGTCTTACCACCACACAGTCACTCCATCAATTATAGTTCTAGATGAACCTTTATGAGTTTCACATGAGAAATTAGGTATACAAATCCTATTATTACCAATTCAGCAGCCCACCCTAATTGAGGTCTGAGAGCTCTCTGTAGAGCCTCAGTCAATATTTGCCGAAAATCAAGTACAGCCCTTGTTACGATTCAATATAAACAATGCATGCCACTGTACCAAGGCATTCTCCAGGCTCAAGCATGCTCCAGGCTCGAGGAAGGGAACTTAACTTAAGCTGTACAAAAGTCCATGGGATAAAACATTTTTTGATACCTCTGTCAAGTGCCAAGGCTTGGGCTTCACCAAATGAAAGTACTCTGCTGTCCCAGCACTCAGAACTAGCACTCTTGGTAAATAACAGAAACAGAGACCAGCACAAACTTGGCATTCAAGTGAGTAAGTAAGCTCATGTGTGAGTGAATGTGTGCATGAGGTTCTAATAAATGAATGGGGGGTGGGAAGGAGTGAAGAACAGGAGACTTGGGTTCATAAAATTGGAGTTCTGATTCTGAACTTGTTTACAGATCCCTTTTCTGGCTCATCTTCTGCACCTCCATTTTTCTCACTGACACAAGAAATGGAAATTATATGC